TCCCAATTCCCCTCCCTCCCCCCGATTCCCGATTCCCCTCCCTCCCCCCGATTCCCAATTCCCCTCCCTCCCCACGATTCCCAATTCCCCTCCCCCCCCCCCGATTCCCAATTCCCCTCCCTCCCCCCGATTCCCAATTCCCCAATTCCCCTCCCTCCCCCTGATTCCCAATTCCCCTCCCTCCCCCCGATTCCCAATTCCCCAATTCCCCTCCCTCCCCCCGATTCCCTTTTCCCCAATTCCCCTCCCTCCCCCCGATTCCCAATTCCCCTCCCTCCCCCCGATTCCCAATTCCCCTCCCTCCCCCCGATTCCCAATTCCCCAATTCCCCTCCCTCCCCCCGATTCCCAATTCCCCAATTCCCCTCCCTCCCCCCGATTCCCAATTCCCCTCCGTCCCCCCGATTCCCAATTCCCCTCCCTCCCCCCGATTCCCAATTCCCCAATTCCCCTCCCTCCCCCCGATTCCCAATTCCCCTCCCTCCCTCCGATTCCCAATTCCCCTCCCTCCCCCTGATTCCCAATTCCCCTCCTCCCCCCGATTCCCAATTCCCCTCCCTCCCCCCGATTCCCAATTCCCCTCCCTTCCCCCGATTCCCAATTCCCCTCCCTCCCCCCGATTCCCAACTCCCCAATTCCCCTCCCTCCCCCCGATTCCCAATTCCCCTCCCTCCCCCCGATTCCCAATTCCCCTCCCTCCCCCCGATTCCCAATTCCCCTCCCTCCCCCCGATTCCCAATTCCCCGATTCCCCTCCCCCCCCCCGATTCCCAATTCCCCTCCCTCCCCCCGATCCCCAATTCCCCTCCCTCCCCCCGATTCCCAATTCCCCAATTCCCCTCCCTCCTCCCGATTCCCAATTCCCCTCCTTCCCCCCGCTTCCCAATTCCCCTCCCTCCCCCCGATTCCCAATTCCCCTCCCTCCCCCCGATTCCCAATTCCCCTCCCTCCCCCCAATTCCCAATTCCCCTCCCTCCCCCCGATTCCCAATTCCCCTCCCTCCGATTCCCCTCCCTCCCCCCGATTCCCCTCCCTCCCCCCGATTCCCAATTCCCCTCCCTCCCCCCGATTCCCAATTCCCCTCCCTCCCCCCCGATTCCCAATTCCCCTCCCTCCCCCCGATTCCCAATTCCCCTTCCTCCCCCCGATTCCCAATTCCCCTCCCTCCCCCCGATTCCCAATTCCCCTCCCTCCCCCCGATTCCCAATTCCCCAATTCCCCTCCCTCCCCCCGATTCCCAATTCCCCAATTCCCCTCCCTCCCCCCAATCCCCCCACCCCCCACCCCCCTCCCCCCTTTTCCCCCCTCCATGTCTTCCCTGGCTCCCCCGTGCCGTGTCCCTCACTCACACACGAACCTGCTTGCCAGGATAGCGGCGGCTCACTCGCTGAATGTCCACGTGGCAAGTGTTGCCCAGTGCGTGCACTCCTGCATCCTGATTGGTCCACAACAGCACAAGCAGTCCGATCCGAAGCAATGCAGCACAAAAGGGTTCACGGTCAGAGCACATCAGCGGAAGCAGGATAGGTACATCGTGATTGGTCCACGGTCCACTCCACAGCAGGCACCCGAGCCAAGTCAACGGCGACAACTTCTGGGCAGTCCAAGAAAAGCATGAGCCAAGGGCGTAACTGTTCTGCCGGAGCCGACAATTTGAGGCAGAGGGAGTGGCAGTGAGATGACTTTTGAGTCGACTCAAAAGTTATCCTTCTAACGAGGATGGATAGAAGCAGAGGGCGTAACTGTTCTGCTGGAGCCGACAACTTGAGGCAGAGGGAGTGGCGGCGGCAAAGACTCCAAGGTGTCCCCACCAGCTCGGGATGCTGCTGCTGCTGCCTCCGCAACATGACAACCTTCCGATGCCCCGGATGCTCCAAGCCGACTCACATCAGCAGCATCTGCCATTGCACCTGCACCAGCTTTCGCATCAGCTTTTGCGTCTGCTCGTGCATTGGGACCGCCATCCTCCTTGCCTGCGCGCCCGTGTGCTTCAGCCTGTGGTCTCTTGTTGCCTTTGCCTCGCTGCCTCTTGTGGTTCCCTGTGGGGACAGACCCCACCAGCTTCCCTATTGCATCCTGCAAGGCGGGAAAGAATCAGGGAGGTAGTGGAGTGAGTGAATTGCATTCCAAAATTCTCGAAAGCAACCAGCATCCCTGCCTCCTGTGCGGCAGGAGAGAGACGAGACGTAGTGGAGCGAGTGAATGGTACTATCAATCATGCGGAGGCATGGGGAACGCCTAACGACTCGATTAAGAAAAAAAAAACACCTAGAGAATGCCAATGGGAATAAAATGCGTTATGAAGTCACATCACAACATCGTCCATCCACGTAGATGGTTCCAGTGAGCGTGCATGCATCGCATTCACGCATCGCATGCATCCCTGGAATGGAACAATCACCACGATCTTTTGTTTGCGCCTCACGCGAGATCCTCACACGACATTACAGATGCTATACACACGCTCCACTCACGCTCACACACGCTTCACTCACGCTCACACACGCTCCACTCACGCTCGCACACGCTCAACCCCCTCCCCCTCACCTCAAGAGCCCCTTGTACTGACGGCAGCGGGTTGTTCCCCAGGGGCTGCTTCTGCCACCCGCTAAAAGCACTCCCGATATACTCCACTGTTAGCAGATATCGACGCTGCAGAGGGGATGGAGGAGAGAGTTTTGAGAGGTCAATTCCCCAAGGGCTGTCTCATACCCGCTAAAAGCACTCCCGATAAACTCCACTGTTAGCAGATACCGACGCTGCAGAGGGGATGGAGGAGGCGAGAGTTTCAAAAGGTCAAGATAGATCTCCAAGGGCTGCCTCTGCCACCCGCTTTAAGCACTCCCGATATACACTACCGTCAGCAGGTACCGACGCTGCAAAGAGGGTGGACGAGGCACGGATATTCATGTGCGATGTGATGCATGGTACCCATGTGCGATATGATGCATGGGACCCATGTGCGATGTGATGCATGATACCCATGTGCGATGCGTGATACGCTTCTGATGAAATGCATGTACGATGCATGCGGGTTACGGGGGAGGGTAGCTTACTGGAGCAGACGCTGCAGCAGCAGATGCGGCCGGTTCCATGATAACGGGATAAACTCAGAACTGTACGACCACACCATCGGTATCAGTCCATGATCATTATGAGCACCTTCACAACATCCCGCTACAGCTTTCGATACGGCGACGCTCTTATGACGGATGAGAAAACGCAATGAGCTGACTTGAATCGACCCGGCAGCGGGAACTGGCTTGACGGAAACGGTTCGCACACTGGACTGACGAGGCTGTTTGGGAGCAGAACTGCTAGGAAGTTACTGCGCGGTTACTGAAGGGTCAACAGCAGAGGTCGGCTGGTGGAGCAAGTACGTGAAGTGAAAAGGGACGAGAGTGAAGGCTGCTTTCATGGATCCTCCTATCCCGAGGTTGCCATGATCCAGCCAGGCTTCCAATCGTACGCGATAATAGCCATGATCGGATAGTAAAAATCGGTTATTTGTAGATAGCTGGAAAGCACATTTGGCTGTCAAGCACTTAGGCAAAGTTACCTGCGCTAAACTGGAGGGCTGCAATCAATCGTGACACCGCTGGCGGAATTTCGCGACGGCTGAATACCTAGACACTGGCCACTCGCGTGCATGCACGAAGATTACCAGCGTCGTTGAAGTTTTTCGCACGTGACACCGAGCCTCCAAAGATCAGGGCGTGTCCAGCTCGTTCATTTCGGGAAATCTAGTACCTCCTCACGATCCGGGGTTCAAAACTGAACACTGTACCTATAAACGAGAGTGCCTTGCTCGAGTCCACCCTTTCTGTCATTCTGGCGCGCGGACACCATCCCCCCACACAGACTTCAACAGTGCAGGGGCCGTGTGGCAACCAAGGTAAACAGTTCCCTCGTTAACCAAAGCGTTAGAATTTTCGCCAGGCCAACACTTCTACTATAGGTTTTGGCGAGTGTCAGGCGGCACATGCGAAATCAAGCTCGTGATACGATGGGCACTCACTGTAGTGGGCAGGACGCGGCTCTGTACCATTTTTCGATGCGCACGCTGATTCCTGTAACGTGCGTCACACGATTCGAGGTACGTGCAGGGGGTGTGCCGTATCGTGAACGGGAGCTGATCGTGTCTGGCATTTTTGTAAAACTCAGTGTTACAGCTCAAATTGTGGTAACTGAAGGGCTTTACGAACAGTAAATGAACGAGCTGGACACCCCCTCAACCCACCTCGATAGTGCCATCGTCAGAACACCCCTCAGGCCAGACAGAACCAATCACCACTCACGCAGTGCGCACCAATGAAATGTCTAGGCGGGTGGTGTGTCGCGGTTCAAATCGGTGAAGCATTCTGAACCGCTTTAAATTGCACAGAACCTTAATGTCAACCACAGAAAGTGACTGTGACTGATCACCAACAGGGCACGAAATGGTTCAGGAGGGAGGGACTCAAAGCACCTGAAAACCAAGCCATTGGATGGAGTCAGTCACTACAGGGTAACTCCATTGAGTTGAGCAGCACACAGTTTGCCCTGCACACAGTTTGCCCTGCACGATTTCGTCACTAGACTGTCATGCTACGTGCTACGGTCTAACGCAAGTGTAAAGCCCCAATGGTGACGCTCGGGCCTGATTTTTTATGCGATTTTGTAAATAGCGGAACGATGTTGATCACGCGATGCAGGAGAACACCGGCACACCACTGGTGAATGCCACGATCCGCGGCGAGATTGTCAAATGCCGTTGGATACAAACATGTTATGTCGTTTCGCGGCATAGTCGAATCCAGTGTGGAACAGACTCGCAGAGGCCAGCGACTAGTTTCATGCTTCTTCTGACGAAGCTACTGTGAAGCTTCTATGGAGCTGTAACTTATTGTTCTCCACCGCCTTCAAGAGCCGAGTCAAGCTTAAATATTACTACCAGCCATCCGATCACTCGAGTTTTGCAATTACGACCGTCTAGCCGTCCGATCACTCCATCTTCGCAAACATGGGTGCGGTGTCTCCCGCCCTGCGATTAGCCGCGTCGCGATTAAGACCGTTCAGCCGCCAGATCAGTCTCGCCGTCGCGTTCCCGTTCATCTGGATGCTCGTCTCCTCCATCACGCGCAACAACCTCGCCGGGAGCGAGCCGTTTGTTGATTTGATTCGATATAAGGCAGTGCCTATAACGGGGATAAAGATCCCTGTGACGATCGTCAACGACACATTCGGAGGCTTAGCGGGTATGCTATTGAGGAAATACAAAAATGATTCCAGTAAGCGTGGAAATGGATAGGAAAATGGACGCGTTTGTTACACTTAAATCGGGATGTCTACAGTGTAGCCAACGGTAACTTGGCTACCGTTGTGTGTGTGCCACTGTTGTAAAGGTGGAAGCGTGAGTTGGCATGCACGAGTCACCCTGTCCTCGTGTTTTATAGGCCTGTTGGAGTGGCTCTTGCCGTCTTGGAGAGAAGGGTAGGCAATCCTCTGCCTTGTTCCTTGCCACCAGGAGCGCGTGGCCGAAGGCTGTGCAGGCGATCGGCGGCGGCCGAAGGCCCTCGGCGCGAGCCGCCGAAAACGAACTCCACACGAAATAATGAGGAGAAAGAGACCCAAACAGCCCTTAAATAGCTCTGGAGGGCAGAGGGCGGAGGGAAGAGGCAGAGGGCAGAGGGCTAAGGGATCCCCTCTCTCTCTCTCTCTCTCTCTCTCTCTCTCTCTCTCTCTCTCTCTCTCTCTCTCTCTCTCTCTCTCTCTCTCTCTCTCTCTCTCTCTCTCTCTCTCTCTCAAATTGTCGTTCTCCTTGCCTTGTCCAGTCACCTTCTCATTGCGAATCTCTGTCTCCTCTCCTCTGTCACTGGCCATATACAGTGTGTCTGGACGGCACACCGCCCGGATTCCACTTTCAGGCAGGGTCAGGCGAGGGAGCTGACAAGTGGGTCATCTTTCTCGAGGTACAGAGGAACCTTTTGCCAGACGCACTGATTGTTTCAATGTTTTTCAAGGAGGTTTGGATTGGATAGGCCCAAACTTCACATAGTGCTCGCTCTGTCCCATTCCGCTTTCCAGTTCCCTCCCTTCCTCTATCCCGCCCTCCCCATCTCTGTCATTCTCTTTCCATCTCTTCCTCCCTTCCCTGCCCCTCACGCACATGGCAGGGTGGCGCCTGGTGTGATTCAGTCAACGATTGCTACAACCGATCGCTCACCAAGCTAGGATCGTCCAATCACATGCAGCCATACTCGTTCATTGGCATTCTCTCTCCCAACCCTGCGATCAACCCTGGTGAGTGAGTGGCGTTTGATTCGACTCAACAGCTATCGCTCGCAGGAACAGTACTGGTGAGAGTCTCTTTACTGCAGAGTTGCATCAGTGATCCTAAGATTTTTCTACACTCGCTCACCAAGCTCGGCTCGTTCAATCAAATGCGGCCGTATTTGTTCATCGGCGGTTTGTTTCGGGGCTCTGCTTTCAACCCTGGCGAGTATCCTCAATATAGGATCAATCCTAGAAAGTCTTCTGAACGTAGGATCAACCAGCTAAATGCGTGAACCAGTACATACAAGCAGGTCACAAGCACAGGTAGGAGGTCGGGACACCAAGAAAATTGTCCTCCTGGATTTTATTCTGTTTCCTTCAACCTTGCCTTCCCCACTCTCCCTCCCCCACACAATAGACACATCCCCTTCAAGAATACCTCCGTTATTCACCCACAGCCCCGTCACACACAAGCTCTCCATTCCATTTTCACCCTTTTCCTGTTCTCCTGCTTCGCTTTCCCAATTTTCTTGCACGGTCGGTTGTCCCCTTTATAGAGTTCTTCAGTTGGAACCGTGTGGTGGTGCGCTACTGCGACGGCGCTTCGTTCTCTGGCAACAAGAGCTACCGCATCAAAGTACCGGTGCGTGCGAGTGTGTAGGGACGGGAGAGGAGGTGATTTTTCTTGTCGACTTAAAAGCCGCTTCACTTCGTCCTCTGGGAACAAGAGCTACTGCATTACAGTACAGGCGGGTGGATGCGCTGTGTGTGGGGATGGGGGGGATGGGTAATGGGTTGTGTGAGGTGGGTGGGGTGCGGGTGATTACGTGGGGGAAGAGCGTGGGTGCGGTGCGGTTGAGGTGTGTGTGTGTGTGTGTGTGTGTGCGTGTGTGTGTGTGTGTGCGTGTGTGTGGGTGTGTGTGTGTGTGTGTGCGTGTGTGTGTGTGTGTGCGTGTGTGTGTGTGTGTGCGTGTGTGTGTGTGTGGGTGTGTGTCTAGAGGAGGTTGGTGGGTGTATGTGAGTACATGTGTTTTGTGTGTATGCGCGCATGTGTGCGTGTGTGCGTGCATGTGTGCGGGGGTGCGTGCATGTGTGCGTGTGTGCGTGCATGTGTGCGGGGGTGCGTGCATGTGTGCGGGGGTGCGTGCATGTGTGCAGGGGTGCGTGCATGTGTGTGGGGGTGCGTGCATGCGTGCGTGTGGGGCAGAGGAGTGAGTGTGCACGGCAATGTTGAAGACAGAGAGGGAGGTTTGTGTCACCATCTCTTTCTCATCACACTACACTCTCAAGGCAAGCCCTTATTCCACCCTCCTTTCTCCTATCGTACGTCTCAAAAACAAGCCCTAATTCCACCCTCCTTTCTCCTATCGTTCCTTCCATGTGCCACAGGGGACCAACACGTTCATCTTCTTCCGAGGCATATTGGTGGTGCTAGCAGATCGGTAGACATGTCCCAGCGAGCAGGAGAAAGTGTAGCAAAGGAGAAAACAGTTGTTATAGTGTATATGCCACAGGGGATCAACACGTTGATCATCTTCCGAGGCAGATTGGTGCTACGTCTCAAGAGTTCTCAGAAGTAATTCCTCCCCACCCTCTTTTCTCCAATCCCATGTTTTGTTCTCTTCCGTGAATGTGCCACAGGGCACCAGCACGCTCATCGTCTTCCGAGGCAAGGCAAGCACATCATGTGGGCTGTCGTGCATCAGCAACCCTCTGCCTGATTCTTGCTTTCTGGGCATGAAATCTCATCTCCCACCTTCCCTCCAATGGCCCTGTGAATGTGCCACAGGGCACCACCACGTTCATCTTCTTCCGAGGCAAGGCAAGGCAAGGCAAGGCAAGCACACCATGCGGGCCGTCGTGATCATGCGTGAGCCACTTGCTCTGCTGATTCGATTCTTGACAGCGTTAAAAGTCGTTTCTCACTCTCCCTCCCATGCTTCTCCGCATCGCATGTGCCACTGCCACAGGGGACCAACACGTTCATCTTCTTCCGAGGCAAGCACATCATGCCGGCCATTGTGAGCCATCTCCTGCAGCACCACAACCTGCGGGCGGCATCGCACGTCCTATTCGGGGGAGGCTCAGCCGGTGCGCTGGCAGCCTTCCTGCACTGTGATTGGTTCGCCAGAACAATGCTGGAGGTGTCTCAACAACCAAACTCCTCCCTCTCTGCTTCTGCTCCTGCTGCTGATGGCGCTACTGGTGGTACTGCTGGTGCTCCTGCTACTGCTGCTGCTGCTGCTTCTGCATCCTCCCCATCCTCCTCCTCCCCGCCACCCCCGGTGATGAAGTGCATGGGCGACGGGGGTGTGTTTCTGGACACCAAGGACGTGGGAGGGCAGCACGAGATGAGGAAGCGCTTCTCAGCCGTCGTCAGGCTACAGGTAGGTAGGTAGGTAGGTAGGTAGGTAGGTAGGTAGGTAGGTAGGTAGGTAGGTAGGTAGGTAGGTAGGTAGGTAGGTAGGGTCACTAGGGTGTACAGCCTACATACAGGGCAGCTGTAGTCTGTGTTCCAGCCAGGATGGGTGGGGGTGGGGCTACAGATTTGAGCTTGGGCTGCCATCCCGGCAGCACGAGACAAGGAAGCTCTTCTCAGCCGTCGTCAGACTACTTACAGGTACGGTGTACAGTCTACAGGGCAGCTGTAGTCTGTGTTCCAGCCAGGATGGGTGGGGGTGGGGCAACAGATTTGGGTGCGCATTGTCGTGAGGGCAGCAGGCAGCAGCACGAGATGAGGAAGCTCTTCTTGATCGTCCTGTCCGTCATCAGACAGACAGACTGCAGGTATTTCCGGGACTGCTGCTGCTGATGTTGCAGGACATGCAGACAGATTGTGCGGGGGACGCAACTGATGCTGCGCTTGCCGTAAGTAAGTTGACGAGTCACAGGTCACCGAGTCACAGGTCACAGAATTTGGCTCAACGAGCCACAGGTCACAGAATCTCCATGACCACCTTTGCTTTTGTCCTTTTCCTGTCTCCTAACCCTCTCTCCTGTCGCGCGGTGCCTCCAGATCAGATGATAAATTCTGAAATGCCTGGGGGGGGCTGAAATGCATTTCACGTGCTTTCAGATCATATCATAAATTTTGAAATGCCTGGGGCTGAAATGTATTTCACGTGCTTTCAGGTCATATCATAAATTTTGAAATGCCTGGGGCTGAAATGCATTTCACGTGCTTTCAGATCATATCATGAATTTTGAAATGCCTGGGGGGGGCTGAAATGCATTTCATGTGCTTTCAGATCATATCATAAATTTTGAAATGCCTGGGGCTGAAATGCATTTCACGTGCTTTCAGATCATATCATGAATTTTGAAATGCCTGGGGGGGGCTGAAATGTATGTCACGTGCTTTCAGATCAGAAATCGCCAGTCCATGCCCTAGGTGTTCACAGTCAAGTGTGGACACGCCTCATAACCTCTCACCTCGTTCCCCGGGCCTTATTTCCTTCTCTCAGACTCAGAACGCGTGACTTTTGAGTCGACTCAAAAGTCACCACGCCTCATAACCTCTCACCTCGTTCCCCGGGCCCGGGCCTTATTTCCTTTTCTCAGACTCAGAACGCGTCAGCGCACAAGGGCTGTCTGTCTGTCTGGATCTGCTCGTGAAGCATCTCAGGACTACCTGTCTTCACCTGATTCCCTGTAACGCATTGCACCCTCTCTCCTCTCACCTTATTCTGGGGTTGCATTCTGCCCACCTCTCAGAACGAGTCGGTGCACAAGGGCTGTCTGGATTTGATCTGATCTGATCTGATCTGATCTGCTTGTGAGACATCTCGTAATCGATTCTTGATCACGTGTCTTCACTTCACTTCACCTTATTCCCTGCACCACATTTTTCCTCTCCCTCTCAGAACGTGTCGGTGCACGAGGGTTGTTTTGATCGACTCACCAATCGCACAGCGGAGCGATGGAAGGCAAGCTGCCTGCCCCTCTCTTTTGTCTCCTCTCCTCCCCTCTCCTCTCTTTTCCTCCCCTCTCCTCTGTTCTCCTCCCCTCTCCTCTCTTTTCCTCCCCTCTCCTCTCACTTCTCCTCGCCTCTCCTCCCCTCTCCTCCCCTCTTCTCTCTTCTCCTCCCCTCTCCTCTCTTCTCCTCCCCTCTTCTCTCTTCTCCTCGCCTCTCCTCTCTTCTCCTCCCCTCTCCTCACTTCTCCTCCCCTCTCCTCCCTTCTCCTCCCCTCTCCTCTCTTCTCCTCCATTCTCCTCTCTTCTCTTCTCCTCTCTTCTCCTCCGTTTTCCTCTCTCCTCATCTCATCACTTCTTTACTCCTCTCTTCTTCTCTCTTCTCCTCTCTTTTCGCCTCCACTCTACTCCTCGCTCCTCTCCAATTTTCTTCGCTTCTCGTTTCGTCTCATCTTTTCTTCTCTTCCGCATGAACAGTAACGCATGCTCGCTCTGAGGTATTTCCTGAGGCGCCTTAAAAATCACCTCATGACCAACAAAGCATGCTCGCTCACTCACGCACCCTATGCACTCTCAAGCGCATCACCCAGATTCAAAACAGCTCGGAGTTGTTCCAGCTGCTGCGGTTCCTCTCCTTTCTTCCAGCTGACTTTTGAGTCTACTCATAAGTCGCCCAGATTCAAAACAACCCGGAGTTGTTCCTGTATTTTCTTCCAGCTGCTGTTCGCTGTCCTGTGTTTTCTTCCAGTTACTGTCTTTGCAGCTGGCCCCTCCTCTCCCTCTTTCACCTCCTTGCCCTCTCTTCTCCTCATTCCTCTCCTCCCCTCATACCTCACTTCCCATCATTTCTTTCTGCTCTCTCAGCAGTGCTTCTTCTTGCATTATTCTTGAGCTGTCGCAAAAGTCCCTCTCTCTCCCCCACCCCCTTCTCCCCGCCCCCGCATCACTGCAGTGTTTCTTTCCCGAGTATTTCCTCCCGCTGCTGCACACCCCTCTCTTCATCGGCAACACCCTCTATGACTCCTGGCAGGTTTGTTCATCCCCGCTTATTCCTCTTCACTTGACTCTCAGGTGCTTCAGGTTCTTCAGGTGCTTCAGGTGCTTCAGGTGCTTCAGGTGCTTCAGGTGCTCCAGTAGTCCTCTAGTGCTTCAGGTTTTCACCTTCACGTGCACGCCCCTCTCTTCATCGGCAGTACCCCCTACGACTCCAAGCAGGTTCGTCCCTGCTTTGTTGGTGTGACTTTTGAGAATTCTCACAAGTCTCCTGGCAGGTTCGTGCCTGCTCAAACGTCCCCGCTCAAACTTTCCCGCTCAAACGTCCCCGCTCATTCCAAGTAGCCTTTCTTCTTGAGACACTTCTATAGCGCCCCGCTGCTTTTTGGTCCCTCTCTTGATCTGCAGTACTCTCTATGACTCCTGGCAGGTAGCTCCTCTTGACTAGACATTAAAGCCCCCTGCTGCCCCAAGTGCTTATCCTCTCCTTTTGAGTAGCCCTTTCTATTGCAGCAGACCCCCTCTTTATCGGCAACATCTTTTCTCCCTCCCTCTCTCCTTCCCTCCCTCCCTCCCTCCCTCCCTCCCTCCCTCCCTCCCTCCCTCCCTCCCTCCCTCCCTCCCTCCCTCCCTCCCTCCCTCCCTCCCTCCCTCCCTCCCTCCCTCCCTCCCTCCCTCCCTCCCTCCCTCCCTCCCTCCCTCCCTCCCTCCCTCCCTCCCTCCCTCCCTCCCTCCCTCCCTCCCTCCCTCCCTCCCTCCCTTCCCTCCCTCCCTCCCTCCCTCCCTCCCTCCCTCTCCTCCCTCCCTCCCTCCCTCCCTCCCTCCCTCCCTCCCTCCCTCCCTCCCTCCCTCCCTTCCCTCCCTCCCTCCCTCCCTCCCTTCCCTCCCTCCCTCCCTCCCTCCCTCCCTCCCTCCCTCCCTCCCTCCCTCCCTCCCTCCCTCCCTCCCTCCCTTCCCTCCCTTCCACACTTCCCTCCCTCCCTCCCTCCCTCCCTCCCTCCCTCCCTCCCTTCCCTCCTTCCCTCCCTCCCTCCCTCCCTCCCTCCCTCCCTCCCTCCCTCCCTCCCTCCCTCCCTCCCTCCCTCCCTCCCTCCCTCCCTCCCTCCCTCCCTCCCTCCCTCCCTCCCTCCCTCCCTCCCTCCCTTCCCTCCCTCGCTCTTACAAGTAGCCCCCCTCATCATTGATAACGAGCCTTCACCTTGAAAGGCTCTCTGCTCCGTGTGATGCTTGATGAAATATGCTCAGGCCATTTGTTGCTCTGTATTAGGGTCACTTTTCGAGAGTTCTCAACAATGACCTCAATATCACCCGGCTGTGCCGAGCCAAGAGAGTGTATATATCCTGCGGCTCAAAGGACAAGGCGCTATGTTTTGTCGGCTGTCACAAAGAGATCACCAACCACCCTTTTCCTAACCCTGCCAAACCCCCCTTGATTTTCAACCCTGCCCAACCCCTCCTTCACAACCCTGTCAACCCCTCCCAACCCCTCCTTTCCCGACCCTTACGGGGATTTTCATTTCGCTTGCTTATCAGATGAACTATTCTTTCGCCGTCCCAGCGTCCTTCAAATTCCAACCCCTCCTTTACAACCCTGTCAACCTCTCCCAACCCCTCGTAACCCAACCCTTACATACATATCACCTGATTTTCAGATGAACTATTCGTTTGCCATCCCAGCGTCCTTCAAATCCCAGCACTGGGATGAGTGCCGGTTGGCATTGGTGGATTGCCCCGGACAGCTTCTTCGGAAATTCCACAGTAAGTGGTTTGCTGAACCCCAAACCCTTGGATTGAACAAGCAGACATTTCAGGTGCCTTGGATTGAACAAGCAGACCTTTCAGGTGCCTTGGATTGAACAAGCAGACATTTCAGGTGCCTTGGATGGAACAAGCAGACCTTTTAGGTGCCTTGGATTGAACAAGCAGACCTTTCAGGTGCCTCGTAGGCCCTTCAACTCCCAACCCAGCACTGGGACGATTGCCGGTTGTCACTGAGGGATTGGCCCGGACAACTGCTTCGGAAATTCCACAGTGAGTGAGTGCTTGTGCTTGAATTGAACAAGCAGGCTTGCCACGCGCACGCCTCAAACTTGCCTCAACTCCTCCCAGCACGGGGACGATTGTCGCTTGGCTTGGCACTGACGGATTGCCCCAGACAGGCAACTGCATTGGAAGTCCCACAGTTGAGTGCTTGTGCGAGCGAGCGGGAGTGTCGCCAGGAACGATGAGATTGTGAGGGTGGGTTTGAAATCAGATTCTTTGGATGCTTCTTTCTTGTCCAGAAGAAGCTTCAAGCTTGGATGCCTAGCCTGCTCATCTGCCTTGTGTACACCACTCCTTCCCTACCTCCTGTGATTCATATTTCTGCATTCAACATCTATGGCGTTATCTGTATTGTGGACAGTAGGGGGAGCGGAAGCAGGATTATCTGGAGCTGTATTCGTCTTTTCTGGATGTACATATTATATATCGTCTATGTATGTATATATATATATGTATATTTGTTTGTGTGTGTAGATATTGCTAACCTTTTCCTTCAGAACCTCCCCTTGCCGCAGCCTACCGAGCCGAAATGGTGAAGAAGCTCCAGCCTCTGATGCAGGCTCAGGTCTTGTCTTCGGTGCCGAACTCGTGGCAGGCTGCAGGGGAGCAGGCAGGGCAAGGGTGGGGCAGCGGCAGTAGATGGTTGCAGTGGTGGCTACCTGGTGGGGGAGGGGCAACAGGGGGGAAAGGGGGAAAGGGCGGCCTTATCTCAGTGAAGCGGTGCCCGCATGGTTTCTTTCTCGCCTCGTGTCACATGCACACCATGGTACGTTGCATGCACACCATGGTACGTTGCATGCACACCATGGTACGTTGCATGCACACCATGGTACGTTGCATGCACACCATGGTATGTTGCATGCACACCATGGAATGTTGCATGCACACCATGGAATGTTGCATGCACACCATGGTACGTTGCATGCACACCATGGTATGTTGCATGCACACCATGGTATGTTGCATGCACACCATGGTATGTCGCATGCACACCATGGTATGTTGCATGCACACCATGGTATGTTGCATGCACACCATGGTATGTTGCAAGCACACCATGGTATGTTGCATGCACACCATGGTATGTTTGTTAGAATTAGGCTGTCAACACTTTGTGTACTATATTCTATATCGCGTAGGTTATTTGCGGGTTGGGTGTAGTTTGTGATCCCAACCCTATCTGGTTGGGATTCCCTCGTAATCCTGCAAATCTGCCAACTCACCAATTGGAGATTTGCTAGGATTCCCATCCCATCCTTTCCCTAGCCTTGCCCATCCCAACCTCGTTTGTACTTAAGGCCTAGTGCCTTCTTTCCTAATCAATCAGTTGAGCTCCATTATTATCATGGTATCAGAGCTAGCAAATTCTGCTCACGCGAAATCCGATCCTTGGCGTCGCGATCATTCTCTTCCTCTCGGCTATGGCGTTCTCGGTTCACGCCTTCTTCGCTTAGCGTTTTTTGTCTTCACGTCGTCGCACTGGTCAAAGGCGCTTTCCCGCTCCGTCTACGTGCATTTCCGATTTCAACGGCGGCACATTTCTCCGTCAATTTCCTTCACCGTAAGCTCTGAAATTTCAAATTTCCGTAGCAATTTTCTCACATTTGAAACTTCCAACAGGTTTTCATCGGTGCAGCAGAGCAGGTCCAGCGGCGCAGCAGAGCAGGTTCAGCGGCGCAGCAGAGCAGGTTCAGCGGCGTAGCAGAGCAGGTTCAGCGGCGCAACAGAGCAGGTTCAGCGGCGCAGCAGAGCAGGTTCAGCGGCGCAGCAGAGCAGGTTCAGCGGCGCAGCAGAGCAGGTCAGCGGCGCAGCAGAGCAGGTTCAGCGGCGCAGCAGAGCAGGTTCAGCGGCGCAGCAGCACAGGTCAGCGGCGCAGCGGAACAGGTCATCGGCGCAGCTGAAAAGGGGTCATCGGCGAAGCAGGCTCCGCTTCGTATCGTTGACTTTAGCGCTGCGCTCCGCGCGAATGGCGACTTCAACTTCTACCTTAGTCGGAAACCTCATCGTTCTCAACCTCGCTCCCAACGGCACGAGCACCAACTTTGGGGAATGGTGCTATGGGGTGGAGAAGCACCTCCTTAGCACGGAACTGAAGGGGATTTGCTTCAAGGACATCCTCCTCAACCGCGGCAAGGGAAAGATGCCTCTCCCTCCCGATCCCCTTGGCGAAGTCGCCACTGCCGGAGAGAAGGCCGCTTTTGACGCTCAGACCACCAAGTACGAGACTGATTTCAGTGTGTGGGAGCAGGCAGATGCAGCAGTTATTAGGGTTTTCATCACCACCACTCCGGTTGAGCTCGTCAAATCCTACCGCACCTTTCGCTCCGCTCATGCGATTTGGAAGTACCTCCAGGACCGTTTCCATGACAAGACAGCAGTGGGTGTTGCCATCCTCATCCCTCGAATGTTCCAGGTCCGCCTTGAGAAATGCCCTGTCATGGCAGATTACATCTCTGAAATCCGCAACATCCGTGAGGAACTCAAGGACATTGGGATCATTTTCCCCGAACAGGCACTTGCAGCTGGCCTACTTGTAGGACTGACCCCGGCCTACAATAAGCATGGGCATTTGACCCGACCCGGCCCGACCCATCCCGTTGGGGGCGACCCGTTAGCTTAACGGGTCGGGTCGGGTCGGGTTAGCGGGTCGGGTTTGACTCTGTTTTGGTGACCCGACCCGCCCCGTGGGAACGGGTATTTGTGACCCGTTACTGGGTCGGTTACACCACGGGTCGGGTCGGGTCGGATCAAAATATGCTACATAGCAGCAGGGTATGGGGGCTAGGTCTGAATTGCTACATTGTAAACTACATGTTACAACTATATTCGCGCTGCTGAAGGTGGCGCCTTCGTGCTGCTGATGGTGGCGCCTTCGCGCTGCTGAAGGTGGCCGCGATCGCGCTGCCCTATCGCGCTGCCTGATCGCGATGCTGAACCTGGCCGCGATCGCCCTGTCCTAATGCGGTGCCGCGATCGCGCATATGCGGGGCGGCGATCGCGCCAATGCGGGGCCGTGATCGCGCTGAGCAAACGCGGGGCCAAGATCGCGCTATTTTGGGGACGCGATCCCGCCAATGTGTGGCCGCACGCGCGCTGCTGCGCCCCTGGTCGTGCGACGCTGCGAAATGGCGGGAGCGCCAAAACCTAACCTGAAGATAATATGCAGTTTAAATAGTGCTAACATTGAAGAGTGAAGACTGTATGAGGCTCCCTAGCTGCAGCGCAGAAGTACTAGCCTTGATCTAGTCTAGCGACTAGATCAGAATGTCGAGGGAAAAAAAACCTAAAAACCAACCGATGTTCAACCCCTACCCTAATCCGAAAACGGGTCGGGTTACCCTGTCATTTGACTGGGTACGCGACCCGGACGGGACGGGTCAACCCGACCCGGCGGGTCGCAAAAACCCATCACTAAATCACAGTGACGGGTCACGGGTCGACCCGACCCGTCCGGGTTTTCCCGACCCGACCCGGGCGGGTCGGCCTTCTCAGCATTCCTGACCCGACCCGTCCAGGTCAAATGCCCATGTATAGCCTACAATGTCACCAGCTCCATGCTCAAGCAACTTCCCACCAAGGAACTCACCTTCGAAAAAGTCGCATCAGATCTCCTTTTCGCCGAAAAGGACCTAGCAGCCCAAGCATCCGTCAATGCTGTGCGCTACACCCCTGGAATCCCATTTGTTCCCAATAGGGACCAAGGCGCAACTCCTTTCCCCCATGCCCCTACATCATTAGGAAAGGCCCCCGTGCGGGGCAGAAATGCAGAGGCACCAACCACCCTGAGGCAACTTGCTTCAAGAAGCGAGATGATGAGTGGTACGACGACCATGGTGTCTCCACCAACAAGCGCCCTCCCAACTGGGCCCCACCCCGTCGCGTGAACCATGTCGAGGCAGTGGAGGAACCTAGTCCCTCAGTTGATAGCACCCCATCTGATGTTTGCCTCAACCTGTTGTTCTCTGGTGCTGGTCTTATTAATGAGAAAGGGTCGCAGTACATCGGTGTTTCAAACACACAAAGGACGGAGTTCATACTAGACAGTGGTGCCACCCACACAGTGCACAAAGACCAAACCGCGTTCGTTCCTTACCAGGCTCCCATCCCACTCCTCGGAGCCGACTC